TGATTCCAAATCTGATCTCAGATTTGCTCTATCACATCTCATTTCTATGCTATCGGCATACCCAATTTTCATTGATTTTACCCCAAATTAACTCTGTCACTTATGATTGCAAGTTGTTGCGAGTCAGTGGACTGCTTTAGTGTTAAAATATGGCGCTGTATTTTTAGGAGAGTGTGTTTATAATATCATTTTATGTAGATATCCACATTTATTTAATATTTTTCTTCTACATTTTTTATTGAAAATGAAATATTTGATATCTCAAAAACCTGACGTGATAGACAAAAACTGATGCCAGATTTGGAATCAGCACCCCAAAATTACATTAAGACCTATGGAATATCTTATTGCCAGACAAAGTGTGTTGACCAGTGTCATTTTTAGATGTCGTGTTTCGCCTTGGCTCTAATTGTCCACGCTCAACTCACGTTGGCTGTAAGTCACCACGGCCCCTGACGTCACGGCAAGCCTCGGGGCCACTTGCTGGAGTTCTTCCATTACTCGTACGGTACATAGGGTTTTTCGGTAAAGTCACGTAGGTAAAAAAGTTAAAATTTATAAAAGTAAAATAAGTTACTTGATACAGTAAGCGGGCTGTGACGGTTCCACCTGAAGACGGAAGCTTGTGTTGCCTCCGAAACGTCGTGATTTTTATTTTATTTTTATTTTACTTTTATTAATTTTATTTTTTTACCTACGTGACTTTAGCAAAAAAACCTAAGAATATGAATCCTTGCAGTCAAGAAAGCTTCAAATCTAGAAATAGTAGGGTACATCTTCTTGGTTCTTTCGGTAAAGTCACGTAGAAGGAAAATAATAAATAATAAAATTAAACATAATAAAAAAATATATATTATTAATAAAAATAAAACATAAGAAAATAATATATTATTTGTGTTTTGTTTTATTTATTTTATTATTTCCCTTCTACGTGACTTTACCGAAAAAACCTAAGAATATGAATCATTGCAGTCACGAAAGCTTCAAATCTAGAAATAGTAGGGTACATCTTCTTGGTTCTTTCGGTAAAGTGACGTAGAAGAAAAATAATAAAATAATAAAAATAAAACATTAAAATTATATTCTATTATATTATGAAAATATAAAAGAATAAAAATAAAACATTAAAAAAATTGTTATATTATTAATAAAAATAATAAAATAATAAAAATGAAACATTAAAAGATATTATATTATTTTATTATGTTTACTTTTTTTAATTATTTCCCTTCTACGTGACTTTACCGAAAAAACCTAAGAATATGAATCCTTGCAGTCACGAAAGCTTCAAATCTACAAACAGCAGGGTACATTTCATTAACGCGTGTGTTTTAAAAAAGTTAGTAACATTACTCATCACGTCCATATCCAACAACGCCGAGTGGCTAAGACATGTGGACGAGATCAAGTTGTCTGTCAAGAGCGTGAGCGCTGAGTAGCACAGGGAGGAGGAGACGCGTGTTTGGCCACGTACCCGCTACGGGATTCACCAGTCCGCCGTCGAACCTGCAGCAGCAGCAGTTGGTGTAGAGCAACACAAACAATGTCGAGCAAAGCGTCGTAAGGGAGGCAAACGAGAGAGAGGTGAGAGAGAGGAGAGGCCTGGGGCGTTGAAACGAACGTCGCAGCTGTTTCTGAGGTCACGTGCTGACCACGTGGGCGGGTGAGTTGACCGCAGCAGCAGCAGCAGCCAATGGGAGGGAGGCGTGACGCACGCGCGGCCCTCAGCCAATCAGGGCTCTGTCCGCCCGTGGCGCGTGCTGCCCACCCACTCGGCCAACATGGCGGCCTGGCACGACGGACGATTTGGTTGTCAGCGATCTGGAGTTGACGTTGTACGTCACTGCAGCGATCCGTACTCTTTGGTTCTTTTGGTAAAGTCACGTAGGTAGCAAAACAATGTTCTCGCTGTGGTTTTCCCACCTGATGATGATGATGATGATTGTGTTGCAATCGAAACGTCGTGATTTAGTTTTGTTTATTAAATCCTTTTTATTAAGTTCACTTGCTTGCTTGCTTGCGCGCTTACGACCGTGCAAATCTTTCGGTCGTTTTTTTAACCCACTTCCCGTGATCCAATCGAGCTGACATTTTGCACACAGACTCGTTGTGCGTGACAATTTATTTTCGTGAAATTTTTTTTCCAAAATTTTCAACTTTTTAGGAATTTTTTTTTCATATTTAATTTAAAATACCAATGTGATAAAAATGAAACTCTTACTCAAGAAAAACAGAAATGAATAATAAAATAAAACCGATGCCACGCATATAAAGGATTTATAGTGAAAAACTTTGTTTTTACGGGTTAATTTTTTTATACCTATGTGGCTTTAGCGAAAGAAACAGAGTATTTATCAGCATATTTGTATTGTTGTTACTAAGATGGAACTGTGTGCTTGTGTGTGTACGCAACCAGCAACACGGTTTACCCACAGCAAGGAATTGTTGAGGTGTTTTTCTTTCTATTACGTGCTTTTGAGTTCAAAATAATGTATTTCCATGTTGTGTAACGTCAACTGATTTAAAGCTTTTGTGACTGCAGGGATTCATCTTCTTGGTTCTTTCGGTAAAGTCATCACGTAGAAGGAAAATAATAAAATAATAAAAATAAAACATAAAATAATTCTCACGACGTTTCGGCCACAACGCAACGTCGTGAGAATTATTAAATGTTGTATTTTTATTATTTTATTATTTACCTTCTACGTGACTTTACCGAAAGAACCAAGAAGAAAATAATTCTTTTTATAAAATAATTATTTTATTGTTTTATTTTTATTATTTTCCTTCTACGTGACTTTACCGAAAGAACCAAGAGGATAACATCAACTGCTTTAATAAGGCATTTGAAAATGTTTCATAAAAAATCGTGCATTAGCATGCATTTCTGTACAATTGCATTCAGTATTCAGTATCGATTGCATTCAGTATCGCGTGGGCGGCGATGTTGTCACCTGTGGCTTTAGCGGCCACTAGGGGGAGCCGTGTCGTCACGTGCGCTGTCCCGAACGATGGCGTTCTTGACGTTAAATGTTCAAAACAACTTTATGAATCAAATGCATTTTAAATCTAATTACGTCCCCCAGTTCGTTTGGGGACGTTATAGTGAAACGGCTTCTATAGGAGCGGCGCAAGTTGAGGACTTGCTGTACTGCATCGCATTTGTTCTGCGAAATTTCGTTGCTATTCCAGGAGTCCCCAAACAATGCTGATATTACTGGCAGGAACCACCTGGTTCCACCAGCCCACAGGGATTATTGTGTCCGTCCGTCCGTCGTGCATCCAAAATTGGGAGGGGTCGGGCTGGGTGGAGAGGGGATGGGCTGGGTGGGGAGGGTGGGGCTGTGTGGGGGGTGGGAGGGGTGGGGCTGGGTGGAGAGGGGATGGGCTGGGTGGGGAGGGGGATGGGCTGGGTGGGGCTGTGTGGGGGTGGGGCTGGGGGCTGGGTGGGAGGGAGCCTCTACGTGCTTCCAGATGCACCACAATGAGCATCACGACCGATTTGTCAACTTCCCATTTACCAGTTCTTGCTTGACCTGTCAATTTCCTTCATTTTCTCCACATTTCTGGCCTTCTGGCTGGAGGTTGTCAAGTAATTGGTGTATTTTGCTTCTATTATAATGGCAACTAGAATTTGTTTTAAAATTGTTTCTGCTATTGATCATTTACACGGCTTTCACTGAAGCACTTCACATCATTTATCTTTGTGGAAACTATCATGTTGGCAGTACTCTACTAGATGCAGGAATGTATCTATTATTGTTTGCACCAGTATATCTTCTGCGTCCACTGTAAGAAATGCATGACTGTTTAATCTGAAGAATAGACATATTTTTACGGAGCTTATAGTTTACTAGAATAGCCATTATGGTAATGTGGAGGCGGAGTGGTTAGTACTGTGTTTTGCTTTTAATTCAAACTGTTAACTGTGGGGGTGTCTGTAACACAGCGTGTACGTATGTCACTGGCAGATATTTGGCTAAATGGAGCTAAAACCGAAACTTTGTATTCATGATTTAGGCCACAGTAGCCCCAATGGGCCGTTGTGCAAGTTTACATTTTATTATTACAAAATACAAAGGTCTGTTAGAGGTGCTGGTGTTTGCAATACAGCATGAGTTTGTGCAATTCCTGCCCCGGTTACCCACTTGTAGAAGGTTTTTCTGCATCGTTATTAAATATTTGGTTGCATGTTTTTTGTTTATCTTGTATGCAACTGATGAGGTTTTTGAAAAATTGAAATCTGTAATCATTTGACAGCTCTAAAAAGTGTAAATCTGGACATTATTTGGTTATTCTTGTTTGTGATGATCTGTGCTCTGTTGGTGAGGCGGAAACACCTACTTTTTCATTTAGACATTGTGTTCATTTGCTTTTTGTAAACAATTTTCAAAAGATTTATTTCCTCCCTCTTCTAGCTAATTCTCATGTTGGCCTTCTTTTGCAACAAAACAACTGAAATACTCTTTGTACACAGGAGCAACTTTTATCATTTTTCATTACACCATTTAAGTTTTACAAATTGAATACCTTTAATTGTACTGATGGTGTTCTACTGTGTGTACTGTATGCATGTAATATAGGGTTTTCAAAATATTCAAATGCAGTTACTTTAAACGTCTTCAGAATTTGAGACAAGCGTTCATTCTTAAAATGCCCAAATGTTGTGGTACGGCATGTTTTGCAGTGGCACCAAAGGTTTTACACATTGCAGTTTGGATCATGTCCCATTGGAAATAATTGGGAATTTTTACTTAGACATTGTGATCACTCTCAGTAGACAATGCAGCTGCTTATCTTCGCCATTAGGTTTGCACTTCGTATGCCATTTGCAAAAAAATGTTTGACGGATTTTTCTTGAATTACAAATGACCTGCTGCAAGTGCTGATGTCGTGAAGCTTAAGCATCTGAACAAATTGTTCAGCATACTTAGGAAAAACAAGTTTTGTGCATTTTGTCATTTTCAGTTGTACAAGTAACACTAAAAAAGATATAGATTTCGTGTTTTTATATTTTATTTAAGTTGAACCTGACTGCTACTTCAGTAGGTACAGAACTCCCGATACGTTGCGGTGATGGGCGGGACCTCACCTGTAAATGCGGCACTCAAAATTACCCATCAATGGTAACCGCGGATTTTAGCCACGCAGCGACATTAATCCCCAACAAAATATGAATATCAGGACAAACCACTCCAATAATCGGTGAAAATAACAGCGAATAAGAGTTTCCATTTTACCCTAAAAACGATATGTGTCTACATTGCAGAATTTTGCATTTGTAAATATTAAATCATAAAAAAAAACATACACTCCAGTACTCAGAAGATCATAGCAAAACCTGGTCTGTGCAACTCAACCATTTTTTCCTCTCCATTTGTCTCAACATGTTTCTCTGGACATCAAGACACGCATCTGAAACATTTCTCCGTACCTCCGATTAGCGCGCTTGGATACATACGATGCGAAAGGAGTCCAAGCATACAAACACGCGTCTGTCGCAAGGCACCACGATGGGAAGTGTAAGTGTGGCGAGCACATTGTTGGAGGAAATTGGCCGTATATCATCTGAGGATTTGGGAGTTTGATTTTTATTTTATTTTTATTTTATTTTACTTTTATTCATTTAAATTTTTTACCTACGTGACTTTACCGAAAAAACCTAAGAGTATGAATCCTTGCAGTCGCGAAAGGTTCAAATCTAGAACACGATCTACACCGTTAAAATTCAGCGTTTAAAAAAGCAAAAACCTGCTGCAGTTCAACAAAGTCGTCACGTGAGTGCGAGAGGGAGAGCGGGCACGGCCAGCAGCTCTGCAGCTTCTTCTCGCAACGCTTCAGCTCTGTCCGTCAGCAAGAGCTGGCAAAGAGAAAACGCAGGTGGGGCTCAAAATCAGAATCTTGGTACCGGCAGGAACCACCTGGTTCCACCAGCCCACAGGGGATTATTGTGTCCGTCCGTCTGACCGTCCGTCCGTCCGAAGTGCATCCAAAAATGGGTGGGTGGGCTGGGTGGGAAGGGGAAGGTGGGGAGGGGCTGGGTGGGGAGGGTGGGGCTGGGTGGGGAGAGGCTGGGTGGGGAGGGGAGGGTGGGGAGGGGCTGGGTGGGGAGGGTGGGGAGGGGAGGGTGTGGATGGGCTGAGTGGGGAGGGTGGGGAGGGGCTTGGTGGGGAGGGTGGGGCTGGGTGGGGGGTGGGGCTGGGTGGGGAGGGTGTGGAGGGGTTGGGTGGGGAGGGGCTGGGTGGGGAGGGTGGGGAGGGTGGGGCTGGGTGGGAGGTTGGAGGGTTACTTTGGCAGAGAAAACGATCTGCTTGGCCTTTCTGAGTGGCAGGAACTCAATCTGTTGCACCAGATCCTTGGGCTCAGCGTTGGCCAGCATTGCCAGGGACTTCAAGCCAACTTTATACAGTTGGCGGGCTCTGGACTTGAAGAAAACGAACATTTAAACATCTGAATATTGTCACTGGATGAACGTGTCGCTGTGTGACTGATGTGGTGGCAGCATGTCCATACCTCCTTCACTCCAGCCACCTGCATGAGTGGAATCAATTCTGACTTGACACAGTAGGAGAGCTTTTGTGGGAGATCAGCAAACAGGAGTTGGTATGCCCAGAACTCGTCTAGTTCCTTCAGGGTAAAGACAAAGACTGCAGGTGGTCAGTTCACAATCATAACCGGATGAACACGATTCATATCAATGGGCTCTTAAGATGCCACTGTGTCCAGTGATGCGGACACTTTACCTGGCAAAAATGCATGATGCAGGAGGCAAAGGCTGCTGCAGATCCCACCAGGTTTTGAATGAAGCCACGATTTTGGCCAAACTTGGAGGCGACTTTCCACACCGATGTCTGTTTGTACAAGGCGTAGAGGACCAAGGCCAGGTAGAATCTGTTCACTACTCGCTCGTCCACCGCTTTCTGTCACACACCCAAAGGCAAAACAAACGATTCCACGACGTTTCGTATTAATTTAAAAACCATGGCATGATTTTAACTTGTATGCCTTTCTTATACTTTTACGACAGGTTATCTAACGAGGTGTTCACGTCTCTGCTGTAAACAATACGCGGCACTGTACAACAGCTTCATGCCAGATATCACTACTTCATTGGCATTGATAATTGTTTTTTATCCTTCTATCTGACGACAAAACTGACTCCTTTATACAAGGGATCATGTTTGCATTAACCACAACACTTGCGGTCAAAATGCAAACAAAACACATAACTCTGATAATGTATGCACTGTCCTTGAAGTTGATTCGTCCACACCCGAGACAGCTTTCCTTAGAGCCTAGTCTCACATGGTGTTGGACCAGATGATGCCAAAAGGCGCACAACTCAAAGACAATGCACCATCAGAGTATGAGAGCTCGGGGGAAGCAAAATATCATATTTTGCTACTGGCAAAGGAGGTTCCAATGGTGTAAATCTCTGACATTGTAAAGTAGGCACAGGTAATAAGAACATCAAAACCATTAAAATCTTTGGCTTAAAAACCTAGGCACCTGTCTTGTGCTTTGTCCGGCTACTTTCCTGGCGATGAAGCTCTCTGGAACACCAATGACCGTGGCCACTTTCTGTTCCGTCACATCCAGCTGATTAAACTACAAAACAAACAAACACATGTCCTGTGCATTTTTTTAACAGCTTAGCATTCATTAAGGGCATCATATTCTTAGATTTTTTGGGTAAAGTCACGTAGGTAAAAAAGTAAAATTCATATTTTATTTTTATCTTATTTAACTTTTATTAATTTAAATTTTTTACCTACCTGGTGACTTTACCGAAAAAACCTAAGAATATGAATCCTTGCAGTCACGAAAGCTTCAAATCTAGAATTAAGGGTATCATTTAATACAATGAATGTAGCATTTTCAAATACAGAATAACCCATTTCAAATAATAGTGATATATTAAGATAATTTTAAAGCTTCTACACATAGCCCACCAATCTCAATACCCTTATAACAATCTTAAAAGAAGCTATCACTTTCACAAATCAGAGCGTTATCTATAATTCAACATTTAAATAAGCCGATTATATGTATTGTTGTTACATATCGTGATGCAATGTGTCCACACCTGTCGCATGTACGTGTTCCAGTCCGGTCTGCACTGAGAGACCAAGTCGTACGGCGTCGCCAGGTAGATGAGGTGCAGGTAGTTATTCAGCACCAAGCCTTCAACGCCCGCTTTTAGATCTCGGTACAGCACGGTACAAAAAGCCAAATCGACGGATCCTGCGAGACAAACACGACATTAGAACACTGCGTGCGTGCACGTGCGCTCGTGCACGTGCGCTCGTGCACGTGCGCTCGTGCACGTGCGCTCGTGCACGAAGCCGACTACAGCGTCACTTTGAAAGTAAATGTCAGGCTTGCCTTAAAAGTGAGATTTAGCTTCGCAAAAAAAACATCTACCTTGTAGATTTCAATTTAAAGCTTTCGTGACTGCAGGGATTCATATTCTTGGTTCTTTTGGTAAAGTCACGTAGAAGGGAAATAATAAAATAAATAAAACATTATAAAATACATTGTTATTTTATAATTTTTCGGTAAAGCCACGTAGAAGGGAAATATAAAATAAAAAAATAAAACATTAAATATTTTATTATATTATTTTATTAAGTTTTATTTTTTTTTCCTTCTAGGTGACTTTACCGAAGGAACCAAGAAGATGAATCCCTGCAGTCTAAAACATAATAAAATATATTATATTCTATTATTTTACAATGTTTATTTTTATTATTTTATAATTTCCCTTCTACGTGACTTTACCGAAAATAAGAAAAATAAAACATAATAAAATAAATTATTATATTATTTTATGTTATATTTTTCTTATTTTATTATTTCCCTTCTATGTGACTTCACCGAAAGAAGCAAGAAGACGAATATTACTACCCTTGTATGTGGCTTGACCAAGCTTGGTAACCTCCAGCAGCTGCTCAGAGGGTGCAGCAGCGTCTCCCTCGGACCTCCTGCAGAGCCTCACCAGGCCCGCCTGCTGCAGCTGCTGCAGGCAGTGCCGGCACAGATCCCTGACTTTCTTCATCCCACCACCCTCCTGCTGCTGCTGCTGCACCCCAAACAGGGTGGTCTCCAAAAAGCGATGGATAGCGTCGATGTCCGTTGCGATCTGTTACCAGCAAAGGGTTGTAAATGCGGTTTGTCAATTCGTAATATTTCATACCCTTAGTTCTTTCGGTAAAAGTCACGTAGGTAAAAAATGAAATTAAAATTCACGTTTTATTTTTATTCATTTTCATTTCATTTTTTACCTACACGGTGACTTTACCGAAAGAACTAAGGGTATGAATCCTTGAAGTCACGAAAGCTTCAAATCTAGAATTCGTAATATTTGTTCGATCGTCAACAAGCAACGCAAATGATTACGCGAGTAGCGGTTCGGATTCATCAAGAAAAATGCATCATTGCGCTCATCTTACACACTTGATCGTGCGTCTAGGAATACATGAAATATGTATTTGCGTGAACTCTGTAGCCTCTATTGGCATTACAACTCACCACATTGTTAAACAAATATTTCTTCTTGAATCACTGCTCCAAATCGTGACAATGTTTCAAATCGCAAGGGATACACACATATATATGCACCATTTATTTTTACTAAACCAATAAATGTCTTCTTCTTGGTTCTTTCGGTAAAGTCATCACGTAGAAGGGAAGTAATAAAATAAGAAAAATAAAACATAATAAAATAATTCTCACGACGTTTCGGCCACAACGCAAGCAGCCGTCTTCAGGTGAGGAACAGGTCTGTCGAGAAGACAGAGTCTGAATGACAACCCCAGGCTTGGAGCGTGTTTTTAAGCTGGGTTGGAGGGGGGGAAGAGCGCCTTGACAAAATAATTTGCATATCAAGAGGAGTTTAGCATATATTTAAGCTGGGTTGGAGGTGGAAGAGCGCCTTGACAAAATAATTTGCAACCCAGCTTAAAAAGACGATCCAAGCCTGGGGTTCACTCAAACAAGCATGATCTGATGAGTTGATGACTTAATGATGACATCACTCTGCTGCTGCTGCTGCTCTATATAAGATCAGGAGACACAGCAGAGCCTCACCATTCTGGCGAATTGCCCGATGATGATGCTGGATGCAATTACCAGCGAAACGTCGTGCTACTCAAATTGTAAATGTTGTGGTTTCACGCTTCAACACACCGGTGGGCTAAAGCAGTGAACTATTTTGTCTTTTGTCAACGTGACACTTTTTTACTGATTGGCCGTGTCGGGTGGTGGAGGGTTACGACACATTTATAAATAACGCGGCGATCTAAACCCAACAACGTTGATTATGAAGCATGATCTATTTAAACTCTGAGTATGTAACTACCACGAACCGTTTCATATCAAATGTATCGTGTCAAATGCATGCATCTGTTGCCCCAGCAGTTTGTAAACGGTAAACATCGGCTCCAAAAACACACAAACAGGTGCCGAGTATTATTAAACAGACTTGTCTCCTGGTTGCTGCGTAACATTTCCATGGAAACGTCACTGCAGTTCATTTCGTGCGTAATTTACGTTATAAGCAGAACAGAAACTGACCTTCAAGCCAATGAGTGACAGGAGTAGGCTTTGAACTCCTTTTCCATCTGCATGTGCCAGGCTACTCTGGCAAACTTCAAATGGTCCACCCACAAGTAGCGTCACCACCTACAAGTAGAAAAACGCAGAAAAATCATATTTTTTCTTCTGGCAAATGAGGTTCCAATGGTGTAAATGCTTCACCCCGAGCTCTCATACTCTGATGGTGCGTTGTCTTTGAGTTGTGCGCATTTTGGCGTCATCTGGTCCAACACCATGTGAGACTAGGCTCTAAGGAAAGCTGTCTCAGGTGTGGGCCAATCAACTTCAAGGACAGTGCGTACATTATCAGAGTTGTGTTTTTGTTAGCATTCCGACCGCAGGTATTGTGGTCAATGCAAACATGACTCCTTGTAAAAAAGGTGTCAGTTTTGTTGCCAGATAAAAGGGTAAATTTTTTAAATCATATTTTGCGACTGGCAAAGGAGGTTCCAATGGTGACAGAGAAATCGATTACAAAGAGCACACTTCCGCTACACAAGAACAAGGTCTGTAGGCCGGTGTGATCATTTTAACAAGACGCTCAACTTTTGAATGGGACGTCCTTCAGCTAATTCTAACATTGGGAGCATGGCAGCAGAACAGCCGCTACACCTTGGGCTTGTCCCTGCTGTTGACGATGGTGATGCTCTCTCCCGACGCGTCTATCCCCGCCCGCCCGGCACGGCCCACCATCTGCTTGTACTGGCTTCGGCTTAGGAAGGAATTGCCGATGTAGGGGGAGCGGAGGATCACCCTGAAGGCAGGTGCGTGCGTTGGGGCAGGAGGCACAGGAGACGATCCACAAGTTATCGACGAACAAGAAAAACATTCGAGCGTGGTTGTGACGCATAGCACTCCGATGTGCTTTCGGGTCGTGCCGCTTGTCGTTTGGCACGACGTCCGACATGTCGCCCTACGTGTTGACAGCTTCTTCAAGAACATCATGCCAAACAACACGTGGTACCACCTTAAAAATCATCGGAGACTTTGTGCAAGGTGACCGCGTACTTTTTACCGCGCTATGCCAATGGCTTCTGCGTGGCGAATGAGTATCTAAAATTGAAGGCGCACATCTTTCATTTACACGTTTTAAACGTCTCTGGCGTGCCGATGCCAAAACACTCCCCCAACTCACAACATGATTGATGGCTAACTTCACGGCGGTTATGTACACACGCGCTCAACTTCTTTCGCGCCGTACGTAGCCAGCCGTGCTAATCGGAGGTGCGGCCGACACCGCAATGCACCGACGACCGAGGTGGCGAACCTGCGTGCCGGTAGATTGACGCCGGCCGCCAGCGTGGAGGTGCACGCCAGCAGGCAGAGCGTGCCGCCAAAGTAGGCCTCCTCGATGAGGCGGCGCTCCTCGCCCGTGAGGCCGCCGTGGTGGTAGGCCAGGCCGTAGGGGACCGTGTGCCGCAGCACGGGACACAGCTCCCCGTCGGCCCGCAGCTCGGCGAGCAGCGCGCGTTTCTCCTGCACGCGGTGACGCAGGAACGTCCTGCGGGCGGTCAGAACGCGCCGGAAAGGGGGCGGTGGTGCCGCTGGTGTTGTCACCTGCGAGCGCTTTCTCCGCTCCAGGCGGCGACGTCGACAGCCGCTGTCGACGTCTGCTGTGAAGTCCGTTTGTCAATGTGCTGCTGGGTGGGGGCCAGAGGTCGCAACCGGGTACCCGATACCCGTACCCTGCCCGATACCCGGCTACCCGTACCCGGCCGGGTACGGGTAGCCGTTTGCGACCCTGGTGCAGCCGGGTACGGGTAGGGTACCCATTTGCAACCCTGGTGCGGCCGGGTACAGGTAGGCCGTGAGTCACTGGTGAGTCACCGTTTGTCACTCATTTCGGGTAGGGTACGGGTAGGGAACGGGTACCCGGAACCGGCCGGGTACGGGTACCCATTTGCGACCCTGGTGCGGCCGGGTACAGGTACGGGTACCCATTTGCGACCCTGGTGCGGCCGTGTACGGGTACGGGTCCTCACCGAGATGTGACGGGTCGTTCTCGCGCTGGGAGTGAGCGTTTGCGCGTGCGAGTTGGAAAGTGTGATCGTGGCGAGCGAGGAAGATTGTGGCCGATTCCTCGCACCCTGGACACTCTCTGTACCAGCTACTCCCCTCCGGCAGAAGGCTGCGGTCCATCAGGACCAAACCTCACGTCATAAACACAGTTTCTTCCCATCCGCTGTTGACCTCTTCAGCAAGGCCAAGGGCTTAAAATGAACTTTACACTTTAACATTTCATCTACAAAATTACACCTTGCCATATTTACAACAGGTCACCCTATTTGTATTTTAAGATTGTACATCTTATATTGTATACTTATTCAAAATTTTACATACTTTAGCCCCTTAGTATTAGTTAGACTTTGTTATTTTAGTATAGTTAGACTGTATACCACTTATTTAAGTTTTAAGATTCCTACATGTTGAATGTATGCACCTTCCTGCCATAGTACATTCCTTGTCTGTGCAAACTGTCGTGGCGAATAAAACCCTTTCTTGCCCACAGCCAACACCTGTAGTGGCTCCGTGTGTCAACATCGCCACTGGGGAGACAAAGGTGGTCGGACGTGGTTTTGGCCACACACCCCCGCGTGCGCCATAACGGTCTACAAAAGTACTTCTCGCTAACAGCACTTGCTCCTACAGTCTGTTAAGGCTATGTGGGGGACTTTTGTCTTTGTGTGCACGTGTGTGCGTGTGTGTGTGTGTGCGTGCGTGTGTGTGCGTGTGCGTGCGTGTGTGTGCGCGCGTGTGTGTGTGCGTGTGTGCGCGTGTGCGCGTGTGTGTGTGGTGCGTGTGTGTGTGTGCGTGTGTGTGTGCGTGGTGTGTGCGTGTGTGTGCGTGTGTGTGTGCGTGTGTGTGCGTGTGTGTGTGCGGTGTGTGTGCGTGTGCGTGTGCGCGCAATTAAACCTTATGGCGGGACCCCGGGGTCCCATAAGCCCCCGGCTCTCGCACAAACTGCGTTGCGACGTCACGTTGTGTCTGTTGAAGACGAACGACACGGCAATCTATTCCTCTAATCAAAGTTGTATTTATGACTACGGCAACTTTGGCAACTGACGGGTGCTCGGTGAAGAACGAGAAGAATGATTTCTGGTGGGTCGCTGCGTTGATGTGCGCGGTGGGAGAGAGTCGCCAAAAATATAATTTGTTAATTACGATTTTGACTTCTGTTTATTTCGGGACCCCGGGGTCTCATTGCCCCCCTTACGACTACGACCTAGGACTCAAGGTAAATGAAAATAAAAAAAGTGTTTTTTCTGTTTGTGTTACTTTATTTTTAGTTTTATTTACAATACAGTACTTTTTACAGTACCAAGTGTAAAAGTACAGTATTTCTTATTCATTATGAGTTTAACAATGCTTTCCTTATTGTTGAACTGTAACACACTTCACAACACTGACCTGATGGGCATTTAAATAAGCGCATTATTGTGTTCCGCTCGTAATGAACCATTAGACTTGCGAACGGGGTCTCAGGAATGAATTCGGACTGCCCCCTGCAAGGTCACTTTCCCTTGAGGAAAATACCAAAAAAAATCTGCACAGATCGGTGTAAACATTTTTAAGAAATGCACAAGAGCCTTCAGGAATTTCCAGTTTAAACAACACGATGCTTTTTTGCATTTGGTATTGAAAGTATAGATTGTATTCAAGCAACTCTCAAAACTCAATTGTGCACGTTAAAGATATTTGACACACCGACGTAAATACATCGAACAACTGCCTTCTAATGTGACATCAAGGAGTAACTCTTGCAAGATGTACGACTGCAATGTAGAGGTACACGTACTTTGCCAGGTACTTGCAGATCATCTCTGCCACATTCTCGCAGTTCTTCTTCGTGGGGCAGAAGACGAGACAGGAGTGAGCGGGGATGACTTCCGTGACCAGAGCCACGATGTGGTCTGGGTCCGTCTTCAGCATTGCGCTTGAGTACTGTCGCCGCAGCACACACAGCAGCCACGACGTAGCACAGGGGCATGTGACCAGCCGACCGCCTTGGGCCACGTACGGAGTGCGTCGTGGTGATAACTGGCCGGTGAGAACCGGGGAATGCGAACGCTCTGCTACCAAACTCTCTGGTTTTTCTGGTAAAGTCACGTGGGGTAAGGGTAAAAAATAAAAAAGTGAAAACAACTACATTAACACTATGAGACCTCTCTTTTACCAGTGGCAAAATATAGTAGTAGGCTTTTACCCTTTAAACTGGTACAAAACTGACACCTTTATACAAGGCATCATGTTTGCAATAACCACAACACAAGTAGTCAAAAATGCAAACAAAAATAAGCAACTCTGATGACAGTGCATATTATTATCATTATCAAAGTTGCTTATTTTTGCTTATTTTTGTTTGCTTTTTTGACTACTTGTGTTGTGGTTATTGCAAACATGATGCCTTGTATAAAGGTGTCAGTTTTGTACCAGTTTAAAAGGGTAAAAACCTACTACTACAGCTACATTAAATCACGACGTTTCGAAGGCTACACAAGCGTCCGTCATCAGGTCTGGCTGCTCCAGCAAAATTCCTGTAGCGTAGGAAGAGAGCTTTGCTACCGTGTGGCCCGCAGGGACCTACCTAGGCGAATGGCAAAGTGGCTCGTTCTTGAACAAGCTTTGACAACCATCACATGTAGCCCATCGTGAAATGTCAATAGACGTAACTGTGCATTTCAGAAAATAATCAATCACGTCATTGTGGAGAGTATCAATAACAAAATCAACAAGCAATGTCTCTTTCGATTTAAAGCTTTCGTGACTGCAGGGATTCTTCTTCTTGGTTCTTTCGGTAAAGTCATCACGTAGAAGGGAAGTATAAAATAATAAAAATAAAACATAATAAAATAATTCTCACGACGTTTCGGCCACAACGCAAGCAGCCGTCCTCAGGTGAAAACCAGGTCAGACGCTGTCTCCCCGACAGACCTGGTCTTCACCTGAGGACGGCTGCTTGCGTTGTGGCCGAAACGTCGTGAGAATTATTGTATAATGTTTTATTTTTACTATTTTATTACTTCCCTTCGACTTGACTTTACCGAAAGAACCAAGAAGAAGAAGCAATGTCTGCTTCCTCTATCCATCTGTCCAGATATATATTTCACAGGTTATTTAAACTTGAAAGCTGTTCAAAAGCTTGTGTGCCTATTTTATTTCCATTGATGTCTGTGCACTCACCTTGTGACTGAGCAGTCGGATAAAACTGAAGCTTTCTTCTGGACACCGAGCCTTGTTGTTTACCTCGTAGATAGAGTCTCCAAGCTTAATGTACTCTCTTAACTGGACCTGTGAGGATCACGGCAGCCATGTAGACTTTTGTAAGAGGCTGAAGACGTGTATCTTTCACACATCAGTTGCGCAACATTTTTATGAAAATTAAACTTTCAATAATAATAATAATAAGAATGTGATTCTTTTCGATGTAAAGCTTTCGTGACTGCAGGATTCATCTTCTTGGTTCTTTCGGTAAAGTCACGTAGGATGGAAATAATAAAATAATAAAAATAAAACATTTTAAAATAATTCTCACGACGTTTCGGCCACAACGCAAGCGGCCGTCCTCAGGTGTAGAACAGGTCTGTCGAGAAGACAGAGTCTGAATGACACACCCCAGGCTTGGGGCGACTATTTAAGCTGGGATGGAGGGGTGAAGAGCGTCTTGACAAAAAAAAAAACGGCTGCTTGCGTTGTGGCCGAAACGTCGTGAGAATTATTTTATTGTTTTATTTTTATTATTTTATTACTTCCCTTCTACGTGACTTTACCGAAAGAACCAAGAAGATGAATGTGATTCCTACCGGTCGAAAATCGTTAGTGTACAACTCCGCATTCAGGAATTTTTGCAAGTCCTTGATGTTGCTCAGAGTGGCACTCATACCGATGACCTGAGTTGTTTCTGCAATAGAATCAAGCGAATGCAACACCACACTGAATCACAGATGGAACTGAATCACCACAACGACGACTGGAAACCCGCAGTAATGTATGATAACTGCAGGGTGAGAACAAACGTACTTGACGCATACTGAACCTTGGCCAGCGTCTGCTCCAGGGTGGCCCCACGGCTGCCACCTTCGCCCAACATGTGCAGCTACAGACCACGCAACAAACCATATAGTACACCATTGGGACCTCATTTGCCAGTAAAACATGATAATTGGTTTTTTACCCTTCTATCTGGCAACAAAACTGACACTTTTTTTACGAGGAGCCATGTTTGCATAGACCACAATACCTGCGGTCGGAATGCAAACAAAAAACACAACTCTGATAATGTATGCACTGTCCTTGAAGTTGATTGGCCCACACCCGAGACAGCTTTCCTTAGAGCCTAGTCTCACATGGTCCTTGAAGTTGATTGGTCCACACCCGAGACAGCTTTCCTTAGAGCCTAGTCTCACATGGGTTGGACCAGATGACGCCAAAAGGCTCTAAGGAAAGCTGTCTTGGGTGTGGACCAATCAACTTCAAGGACAGTGCATATCATTATCAGAGTTATGTTTTTTGTTTGTATTATGACTGCAGGTATTGTGGTCTATGCAAACATGACGCCTCGTAAAAAATGTGTCAGTTTTGTTGCCAGATAGAAGGGTAAAAAAACAATTATCAAACCATTAGTACGTCGCTGCAAATGAGACTCAACACTACATTGCACTGACGTCACAGCTCGTGTGCTGCTGCTGCTGGGTGGACTGTTGCATTGTGGGCCTGTGCAAGATGGCGGAGGCTTGGGGATGCCCTCATCCAGAAGTAGATTCACGACGGCTGATTATGACGATGATGAACATTAATACGTAACATTTGTAATGACATTTGCAGGATGCCAATTATTCTCTGTAATTAAATAATGAATGCCGCATACCTCATCCACAACGATCAGGCCAATCTCCTTCATGCGCCCCTCCTCTAGAAGGGCGTTGACCAGGCTGTGGGCTTTCTCAATGGTGGCGATGTAGAGAGAATTCTTCTTTCGGTGTTTTCGCGGTGGCATGCGCCCCTTGCTTCCCGCGTATTCCTCTATGAAGATTTCAAGCTCCACACCAAACACAGACAGGCTCCGCACCTGTTCGAGCAGCAGCAGCAGCAGTAGTAGCAGCAGTAGTAGTGTGATGCCGCCGCCATGAAGCCGTTCGGCAGGCGCCCAAATCCCCGACCTCGCCACCACCAAGCAACGGAGCCAACCCCGCGTCCCCCTCACCTCACCTCACACGAACACACCCGCACGCATTTCCCCCCCCCCCCCCATAGAGCTCCGAGGGGAGGTCACCTGGCCGACCGGTTTTTATCCGAAAAACCCTTATCGGGGTTAACTCTCACGGTTTCCGGCGATCAGGGAATTGGACGACCTCCCCCGTGCTACGTTGCGCCGCGGCGCTGCGACCAGCCTTAATATGGTGTGGTCGCGGCATGGGGCATTCGGCCACCGCGGTTGAGGCGCATTTCCCCCCACACACACCCCCACGGGTCGACGGGGCAAGCAGGGGAGGGACGGGACAGCATGAATAGCGGGACCGCAGGAGCTGTTGCGCATAGTCATGGAGGGTTGGGATAATTACGCTTGAGCGCGCAGGCCCCATTGTTAGGAAGGGTAAGGGATTAATTAGGATGTACGCCGCCAACGCCGCTCACTGATTAGCAGATCAAAAGCGCCCGGAACCGCCGTGCGCGGGCTCGAGGTGCGCGAGCCCATGTTCAGCGCAGCATCCCCTTTGAGGTAGGGAGGATAAATAGAGGGGCGCAGAGGGGAAATCGCTCTCTTACTCCAGCGCCAGGCGACCAGACGCAGCTCGAGCCAGCGACCCGGACGTCCGTGCGACGCACCGAGGCACGCGGTTAGCACAAGGATCAGCGGACCGCCGTGGACACTTAACAGTGAGTAAGAAGGTGAATTAGAATCATAGCAGATAAATGGGGAATAGGTATAGAGGTATCAGCGTAGGCCAGCCTCGTCGACTCACTGATTAACATCTAGTTCCAGGTAGCGGATAATAAATCATTAATAGCGAAGCGTGGTCTCGCGTGATCTTGTCGTGCAGTGTGAGCGCGTGGGTGAGCGTGTGTACGCAGTGGTTCTGTAGTGCTGCGGCTCGCCTCGGGGGAGCGCTGCGCAGAGCGGTGCGAGAGTAGGTGTCGCGTGTGTTCACTCCGTGTGTGATACAGGTGCACGATCATAACGCGAGTAGTCAGTGTGGAGTTGGAGTGCACGGAGCGGTGTGTGTGTGTGCGTACGTTCGCTCCGTGTGGGTCGCAGGTACGCGATTAGGAAAGGGAGGTATCGTGGTAGCGTAAAGGGGGACATAATACTACGCGGTATCCAACCATGCCTACTACGCGGACCCGCGGGGGAGGGGAATCCTCGGGCGACGGCTCCCACACCATGGGTGAGGAACCTAGCAGCGGTTTCGCTCAGCAGCGGGGGGGCGATTGATGAGGTTAGCCCGGCCGTAAGCATCATCGAGGGAGGGATCTCGGGGGCTAGCGACCCCGACAGTAGCAGCAGCAGCAGTAGCAGCGGCGACACATCACAATTGTGTGTCGTGTGGGAATAATTGATGAACCCGAGATTGTACTCTGCATCCGAGTATCTGTTCCTAAGCCAAGACGGAAATATTTCAACGAGACTTCCAAATTCCCGGCTGCCTCAGTTGACTTATCTTGGAGGACTTTACATAGAGACAAAACATAGGCCTCGACACAGAGACGTGGTTTCTCTGTGTGCCTTTGTACGTCTCTCTCTCTCTATGTATCTCTGTGATATCTGTCTGCTTATATGTCTGTCTATATGTCTCTGGTTCTGTTTAATCTCTCTCTCAAATTTAGTATTCTCAGGAAGAACGTAATCAACCAGGTAGGGTGTTGACTGTTATGTTATCCGACTCTCTGTTGTATTACATTACATTTCTAAGTATACTAGATTTGTGTTTCTATTTCATTTATACCTGATGACGATTGCTTGCGTTGCAATTGAAACGTCGTATGCTAGTATTTAATTGATCATTTTCTCTTTATACGTCACTTTACCGAAAGAACCAAAGAGTCATTCGTATAACCGCATTTATGCTGCTGTGTCGGTGTGGAAATGTGCGTGTACAAAAGCGATCGTTACCTTCTCCTGGACGATGGCAACGTAGGGAAGAATGAGCAGAGCGTCCGTTCTCTTGCAGAGCAGCTGCCTCAGCATGAGGATCTCTGCCACGAGCGTCTTGCCGCCACTTGTCGGTAAAGAGTAAATCAGATTCTTCCCTCGTCTCACGGAGTCCAGGGACAAGCAGTCGTGCTGCCAGGCTTTGCGGCGTCATGTGTCGACACAAATATAAAAAGAGAATGATTAAATGCACGGCAGAATCTGAAACACGTGAATGTGTCAATTGTAATTAAATCCTTTATATTAAGTTCGCTTGCGTGCTTGCGTGCTTGCTTGCGCGCTTACGACCGTGCAAATCTTTCGGTCGTTTTTTAACCCACTTCCCGTGATCCAATCGAGCTGACATTTTGCACACAGACTCGTTGTGCGTGACAATTTATTCTCGTTAAATTTTTTTTCCTAACTTTTAACACTTTTTAGGAAAAAATAAATTATATTTAATTACCAATTGCTTAATGGTGGCAGGCAATCATCTGACCGATAGGTGGCAGCCATCTCAAGCCAGAGGACGAGAGGACTCTAGCCGCCATGCATATAAAGGATTTATAGTGAAAAACTTTGTTTTTACGGGTTAATTTTTTTTCAAACGGGTGGCTTATTACACGTTAAGAGAACAAAAACGCCGATTAAAATGATTAACTTGCGTGCAGGACGACAAAAATGTTTCAACCATCACCTAATGTGTGAGAAATTGGATTAGGCTTGACAGCTACATCACGACACTGGTGATGTGTAAACGTTTACAGTACGAATCAAATAAGCAGTGATATGCTGTTATAACAAAAACAAATTGGTAAAATACATTTAGCAAAATTCCACCATGTACTAAAATTAATTTCTCAACCCCCCCCTCCCTCTCTGCCCCCCTCACTCTTTGCCCCCCTCTCTCTGTACCCCCCACCCCCTCTCTCTCTACCCCCTCTCTCTATCTAAGGCCTCGACACAGAGGCGTCGTTTCTCTGTGTGCCTATGTTGTGTCTCTCTGTGTCTCTGTGTTGTCTCTCTCTGCTTATATGTCTGTCTGTGTGTCTATATTGTGTGTCTCTGTGTCTGTGTGCCTATGTTGTTTGTCTCTCTCTGTGTGTCTCTGTGTTGTCTCTCTCTGCTTATGTGTCTGTCTGTGTGTCTCCTGTTCTGTTTAATCTCTCTATTAAATTTAGCAATCTTGGAAGAGCGTAATCAATCCAGGTAGGGTGTTGACCGTTATGTTAGCCGACTATCTGTGTTGTATTGCATTATATTTCTAAGTTTACTAGGCTTTGTTTTCTCTTTCATTTGTACCTGATGACGATTGATTGTGTTGCAATCGAAATGTCGTTTGCTAGTATTTAATTCATTATTTTCTCTTTCTACGTGACTTTACCGAAAGAACCAAAGAGTAAGTCCGCCAAATACTATTCAATTACCATTTCTCCCACGAGAGAAAAAAAAAGATATGTTGGCATGAAAAAAAACCGAGAGACAGTTTCGCGTAAATATCCGAGTGTAAAAAACAGCAAACATTACCGTAGAGCTCTTTAATGCCACGCTGTTGTTGCAGAAGGCTGTGCACCTTCGTGGGAAGCCCATAGAAAGGCCCAATCTCAAACTGGCTGTCATCAGCACAAGTCTCCGTGGCGATCTGTCTCTCGTGCGACAGCGCAGACTCCTGCAGGTGCCTGGTGCGCGAGACCACGCGGGTAGCTGCCGCCCACGCGTTTGCCACGAGCGTTTTCTTGATGCGATCTCTTATGCTCGTGCCCTTGTTGGCTACATCTGCGGCTACTTTTATATTTTCCACTCCAAGCGCATTTGCTGTTGAAGAACCGTCGGCTCTTCCGCGAGCGATGTGGTCAGCCTCTTCACTAAAGGCAGCATTTGAGTCATTTGCTTCCGAAAGTGCAGAAGCACAAGTGGGTTTTGGCGGTTTTCTGGTGGTAATAGTACATTCTAAATCGTCCGTTAAGATATCAGCCAATTTTATCTCATCCTCCGAATGAAAGCAACCTGTTTGTGCGTCAGCTTGAGAATTAGACGTTAACGTGCGAATGGTTCCATCGAGCTTTGGAAGTTTTGCATTTTGAGAATTGCCTCTCGACGAGCTCCGAATGTCGTTTCCTACAATATTTGCGTAAAAAACCGTGATGCGGCTCAGTCTGTACATTTTGTGCGATGTGTAGAGGATTATATTCTGTTCTCTTTAGTGTATTCTTATTCCAGTCACGAGGCAGCAATTGTTCCACATTGTGTGTTTTCATTTGACCAGTATTGTCACAGCCCAATATAGTCCCACAAGACAAAGCCGAGTGTTGCGTAAGCTTCTTGGGAAGCCACTTTTGTGGTTCTGGGTCTTTCTGAGTAAGATTGAACGTCTGTGAACAATTGTCTTGGTTGTGCTGTTTTTCAAGTAGTACATCCACGAGTGAGATGTCTCCTGCAACACTGTCACATTCCCCACGCATGGCATCGCTTCTGTCCTCACCATCACACTTCAAAGGGAAACAACGAATTCGCATCAGCAATGACTCTCGCGGACAACTTCCAATCCAAATAAGTTGCGAGTGTGTGGTGGGGTGCGGCGATGTTAAGGGGCCCTGGTTTTTCACGACCCTATTACAGTACTTCCTCTCCACAGGTGACTGATTGTTGGGAAAGCAATGCACGAAGGTACACATGTAACGAGTGGATTGTTATAGGTGATGGACGTGTAGAGGCTTTGAAATAGCATTTCTCGATATTGTTCCACATATTTGTATGGCTTTAGTGCTGTATCTATGAATGGATCATCCTGTCAGAGGTTGCAACCGGGTACCCCGATACCCGGCTACCCTAACCCGATACCCGGCATACCCGTACCCGGCCGGGTACGGGTACCAGTTTACGACCCTGGTGCGTCTGGGTACGGGTAGGCCGTGAGCACTGGTGAGTAACCGTGAGTAACCGGTTTGTCACTCATTTTCGGGTAGG